ACACACACACACACATACACATTCATGCACAAACACACATACGCGCTCTCTCGCGCATGACCCCATACTAACCTGGACATTCCTCTTCATTACAAGGTACAGACTCAAACCCGGGCCCGCTGCAGCCTTGCGGATCACTACAGCCTCGGCTCCGCGTAGAAACACCACCTTGGAGGCACAAGTAAAGATAACACTGAAAACTAAAACTTGTCAAAAACAGGTGTTAATAAGAACATTTCGACCCCCCCTCCCCCATTCTTCATACCGTAAGTTTAAAAGCATATTTTGCGTGTAACGTCACGGTGACCCTAAGATGACCCCGGTGAGAGTGGAGAACTCATTTAATGTGCCAGGAACGTCAACTGAGTGGAAAGTAGGTCAAGTGTGTGTGTGTGTGTGTGTGTGTGTGTGTGTGTGTGTGTGTGTGTGTGTGTGTGTGTGTGTGTGTGTGTGTGTGTGTTTTGTGTGTGCGTGACGCAGTAGGTCTAGTGAGTGTGAAGTAGGTCAAGTAAACATGAAATAGGTCAAGTAAATGGAAAGTAGGTCAAATTAGTTCCAAAATGGAAGACTCAAGTTTAGTTTTACCCAGCAAAGACAAAATACATAAATCCCATGGGTTTTTATTTAAAATTGTATTTCAACCTATTTGTTTTATTTTGAGTTAAATTTTAATACAAAAAGACTTCTCGATTTTTTGGGGTCAAAGTCACAGAACTTCCTGCATAAATAACATTGTAGGCTACTCCCGTGGCCTTGAGGTTATGGTGCTCGCCTCTCATTCAATAGGCCCCGGGTTCGAATCCGGATAGCGACGGCCATTTTTCTTCTCTAAAAAATCATCTCCTTTTACCTCCTTTCCTGCTCTCTAGCAATGTTCTACGGTCTGCTTTCGTCTTCACTTTCTGCTCTCACCACTCACCTCATTTGCCACCCCCCCCTTTCCTCTAGGCTCCTGACTCTTTCTGCAGCCTTTCTACTGTTACCCCTTGGCTCCTAATTCTTAGTGCTGTCTCTCAGCCACACCCTTGATATTATAGCAGGAAAGATCTACATCTAGCCTTTTCGGACAAGGGCGAAAAACCTCGGAGGTCCTATGTGCAAGTTGCACACGATAAAGATCCCTTAATGGTCCAAAAATCGATAAGAGTAGGCTTTGACCGCCATCCGGGCAAAATTCATAATTACCAACTGAAAATGTTTAAAAAACACTTACCAATTATTTTTTAAAATGACATTCTGTAATTGCCAACAGATAAATAGATAGATAGATAGATAGATAGATAGATAGATAGATAGATAGATAGATAGATAGAGATAAATAGATAGATAGATGGATAGAAAAGGACCTTCAAATGCTTCTAGATACTGTTGTAAAAGAAAGTGAACGTAAAGGATTATTGTTAAATGTAAAGAAAACAGAATGCATGGTAATATAAAAAAAAGCACCAAATCCTAGTTGTAATCTCATTAGCAAAGGTGAAAAGATCAAACAAGTCCAACAGTTTAGATATCTAGGATATATGATAACATCTGATGCCAAATCTTCCGCAGAAATAAAAAGGAGAACTGCAATGGCTAAGGCTAGTTTCAATAAAATGAGCCCAATCCTGAAAAATAGAAACATATAAATGAACACCAAAACGAAAGTCCTGAAATGCTATGTTTGGTCAACCCTTCTATATGGCTGTGAATGCTGAACAATCACTAAAGACCGTGAAAATAAAATAGAGGCAACAGAAATGTGGTTTCTTAGGAGACTGCTAAGAGTATCGTGGAAGGAAAAGAAATCAAATGAGGTAGTACTTGATGAAGCCCACGTGGGACGCTCAATGTTAAAAACAATCAGGAAACGACAAATGCAATTTTTGGGACACCTGAATAGACATAAGGGTCTTGAACATCTAGCTCTCACTGACAAAATTGAGGGCAAGCGAGGCAGGGGTAGGCCCAGAACAACATACTTAGAGAACCTAAACAAATGGGTAACAAGGAAAGATCAGGGAAAAGTAACTTGTCTGAGAGCATCCGAGCAAAGGAATGAATGGAAAATCATGATCGCCGATGTCTGTCGAAGATCTGGCACTGGATGATGATGAGATGGATAGATAGATGTTTCTACCTCTGTTTGAGGTCTAATGGTAAAGTTTTTAGCGTAGCACGCAGCAAACGTGAGTTCGATTTCCAAGAAGGAAGGGTTGTTTTCTCCCATTAATTTAATTTTTATAAATTGCTTCTATTATTTCTTTCGTTTGTTCTTTTCTTTTTTACTCTCTCTCTCAGCGCGCTCATATGACCTTAGCAGTTGCGAGCGCCGTAAAACCTTATACTATACTCTCTCTCTCTCTCTCCCTCTCTCCCCCCCCCTCTCTCTCTCTCTCTCTCTCTCTCTCTCTCTCTCTGTTTTCAAGTAAATCGAGTATCCTCAATCTGTGGTATCCTGTCCAGCCCGCGATGTCGGGAGAGACAGAATCGAAGCAGCCAGCTTTTAAATGATCAAAATGGTGTCGGTTGGGGGGGGGGGGGGG